ATATATGTTAGTGTGTGTATATATGTGTATTTAATGTGTGTTAGTGTGTATATGTGTGATTAATGTTTGTATGCATATGTATGGTTAATGTGTTAGTGTACATACAGTATATTTGTGTTTAATGTGTTAGTGTGTGAGTACATGTGTTTTTAATGTGTGTGTGTGTGTGTGTGTGTGTATGTGTGCTAGGGCCATTTCATAGTAGCGATTCTGTCGCTGGTGACAATTTGCCAGGGACAGGATCATTATGCAATTTAGACAAAATACTTTCCTGGCTCCACACATTGCTTCCTGCTGCTTCATCACCAATGGAAATAATGCAGACTGTCACTTGTCGCTAATCCAGCCAGTAAAGTAGTGATGCATTGAGCCAGGTGGGTATTTACTCCACTGTGCACAATGAACCTGTCGTATCACTAGAGGAAAATCAGTCCTAGGGTTTGTGTATTAGGGATACTGATTGTGTCTCTGAAGAAATCTATCTTTCTTAGTCTGGCTGACACCAGTACAAGTACAAGAGGGGGCTTTTTCCCCTACCTACCAATGTATAAGTGGCATTTTTCATCCTACTTATCACCTGGTAGCAAGCAGGAGAGATATGCAAAAAAAATTTTGTTCAAGTTACAAAAAAGGTTTAAACTTACCTGTGTCTCCACCTTTCGCTCCCGACCGAAGATCTGAAAAATCTCGGGCGGCCGCAAAGGATGATGGGGCGGGCGCATGCGCAGTACAGATCTTCACCTGGGAGACGAGGAGGAACACAAGGTAAGTCAATGCAGGCAGTCGCACAGACTCCATGGGGCACAGACGACTCAGCACTGGATCAGATACCGGCACCAGCACTGGAGGGAACCTTGAAAACTACAGGTTAAAGTATATTTCTACTTTTGCAGCCAAATTGGGATAACACATATTTTATATTTGTTACAGGTTGTCATTCGCATAGCAAATTAATGGTGCTAACATATTACTTGTTGTCTGTAAACTGAATTTTCCTCTGCAATACTAGTGGGGTGGGTAGGTCATTATAGTTAACCCCGTGTCTACTGTGCTGGCAGATCTCATTATCAGTTATAAACTAGATTTAACCCTTTCGCTGCCAAGCCCTCCGGAACATTTTTCAAATCAGCTGGCCAAGCCATTTTTGA